AAAGTAGTGGAGGTTTCTACTGAGTTTTTTCTGGTCTCAGCGTGCCCCGGGCTCCCTGGGGGCTTAAAGATATTCCCTAGACTCATCCCACCTACAGCTGACCCAGATAATGGCACATGCAAATACCTACCAAGGAGACCCCAGCTCTGCCCTGCATGATGAAAGGGATACCCAGATCATTTAGGTGAAATATCTTGTGCTCCTTGTAGAAATGGTATCAGTGGTCAAAACCAAATGCAGGCACTTGTTTAGAAACAGAAAGTAACTCAAAAATACATGGTGGTGCCAGCATGTAATGTGTACCTGTGCTCTGCCCCCTGTTCAAATGGCACTTTGGAAAAAAAGGTCTGTAGAAGACACGGGCAGCTTGCAGAGGAGCTGGAGAAACTCATGGTTTTTCTGCCAGGAGAAGCAAAGACACTCATGGTTCTGCCAGAAGAAGTAAAGTTTTGTTTGGCTTGGGGAAGGAGAAACCGGTGCATGGTTGTGAAAAAGCCGGATAAAGTATACAAGATCGAGGTGTGCCTTTAAAATGAAAGCAAATGGAATTTGATGCCTTGGGATGTAAAGGAGAATTATTTAGAGTTTGAAAAAGAGTGAAAGCTAAAACCTCTGGAGGCTGAAGGTCTTTCTGGTTGCTCACTGCAGCCCTGTGATGGTGTCCAGACACAGCCTGTGCTTGGGTTATGTCTTAGCTGCCGGCTCTCTGAGAAGGAAAACTCACATTTAAAGAACTCGAGGGGTTTCCTGGATGCTAATGACCTGTCCTGACCTGGCACAGAGTAGGAAGATTTGACTGGCTGTACCCCTAATCCTGTGGACCTACTGTGCTACCAGTGCCGGGGTCCACAAACATCATCACCCTCTGCTCTCTCTTATGTGCCTCGCCTTTCCCACCCTTTCATTTTTGTCGCAGGGTTTGGAGAGCAGTTCCAAGACAAACATCTGTCCGGAGAGTATTTTAGGATAATTTACTGCAGAATACCGGGGCGTTTCAGTACAAGGCGGTACTTCTCCAAAACAAAAGCTGCTCTTTGAAATGCAGGGTAGGGAGGGGAGTGGGTAGGAAATACCTCCGTTGTTTGTTGTTGTGGAAAAAGAAGAGCAGCAAACGGCAGCTCCCCGAATGCCTGTTTCCAAGTATGCATATCACCGCGCGAGAATTCGGAGCTGGCGACACATCACCCTGCAGCGGTGCAGGCTGAGCACGAGCAGCACAGCTGTGTGGTGCTGGCCAGGCGCCGGGGGGAGAGTAGGATAGCAAAGCGGTTTGAATCATTTAAGAAAAAAAAAAAAGTCCTTTCTGCACCCTTTTAAAGATAATCGGAGAAACATCCCTCATCCACGTCTCCACTCTCCCTGGTGAAGCTTGAGGCTGGGCGAGAGGCAGCAGTTTCCACTCCAGGGGATGAGCACGAGGTGGGTGCCAGAAACTCAGGAACATCTGACCACAAGTAGAGGCTCGCCCCTCCACCCTCAACCACTCTCCCTCTGATGCTGGCTAGGGCAGGGAAGGGGAGAGGAAAGGTGGACAGTGCATGGCAGAGTGATTAGTCATTTTCTCAGGAACTGGCCTGTATGTGCTGCTTGCTCTCTCCAAGAATGTTTATTAGTCACACTATTTATTGCTTGGGTTGACTCAGATGCTAGGCATGACTCTGATGCTGAACAGGATGAGCTTCTGCCCATTGGCAGAGCATGTCCCTTTTGCCACAGGTACCTGTGCAAATCAGCAGGGAAGGCAGCAGCCGCAGGTGCTTTTGTCTCTCTTTGCAATTTAATCCCCTTCCTTAAACCACAGTTCTTGGCTTTCTTCCTATTTTTCCACATTAATCCCAAAATATATAACCTTCCATTTACTAGGGCTCAACACCTACCATCATGCCAGCCTTGGTGGACTGAGTCAGGCGTTGTGCTGGGCACTGGCTGCTGGGCAGAGCTGCCCCCTGGCTGCCCCTTGCCCTGCCCAGGGCAAAGAATGTCTTGCTGCTCTCCATCACTCCTCCATCTCCATGGGAACCACCTACTTGGGAATCAGCAGCTAGGTTTAATCTGGTCATCCTAGAGGAGAATAAGGAAAAAAGAAAAAAAAAAAAACAGAGAAATCAAGGGAGACTAAAGCCAGATGAGACTTAGCAATGATCTCTATGGTAGGCAAATCCTTGCTGCTTTGGTGTGTCCTGGGTGGTCAAAGATGAGGGGACAGGAGCTTACTTCCATCCCAGCCCTCCCAGCTTGGCCCCAGGGAGCAAAGAAGTGAAGAGGAGGAACAGGAGGAGGTGGGGGGAGGAGGGGCTACAGGGTTGGGAAGCTGCCCATTCCCTGGTGGAGCATTGGCCTGCAATAGTTGCCTGTTAAAATTTTGTGCCTGTTACTATTTTGTCAGCCAGGGTTTGCTTTTTAGAGAATGTTTTCATTCTGTTCATACAGCAAATAAACCCGGTGGGAAATGCACTGTTCCAGCTCTGCATGTTCAGCTCCCTCCATGGCAGCATAACCTCTCAAGGGGAAAATCTCCTCATTTTAAAGGACTGGATAAAGTACAGTTGTTATTTACTCTTGGAGAGCAGCAGCCACATCCTGTCAGACAGACGTATCTTTTTACCAGCATTTTATTTCTTGAGTGGTGTGTGTGTGCACAGTGGGGTTTTCCCTTCTACAAAGCAACACCTTACTCTGATGTCTGAGTCAGTTGGGGCACTGCCTGCTCCAGCAAGTGCATCCCTCTCTCCCATTCCATTTTTTCATTGGTTTGAGTCACTGTGGGCACTGTGGGTCAGGTGTTGAAGTGTCCCTAACCCTGCACTTGGGCACTTCACACATGAATAACAGCCTGGCGCCAGCATCAGGTTAATGTGGTCACTGCAGCTCTGCAAGGTCCTGCCTTTCTGTTTCTATGGACAGGACTCAGATCATCTGAAAGTGCCCTCTTGCCAAACTCCCTGAAATGGGGACTGCCTGACAGTGCTGTGACCGACTGCCCTGATTTCTCTTGAATATCCTTTCATTGTCAGTATTTTGCTTTGTTCATTGTGTACAGGACAAAGACGACGTTGTTCCTCTCCTCCTGCTATTTCTTTTTAAAGCTTCTCTCAGTCTTCCTTTCTAGGAAAACAACAGTGCTGGTCCTTTCAACGCTGTCCCCACAGGGCATGTTTTCCAGCACCTCATGTTACTGAGATATATGGAGAAGTAAGGAAGAAATGGAGCTGCACAGAACAGACACCCCATGTTCAGGGTCATGAAACAACAGTTTCTAACCTACTTTTTTGTTCTGCAGACCTTTAAATAATTTCTAGTAGCAGTAGTGACAGCATACATTGTCACTTTTTGTGGACATGGTGGAATTTTCCTAAATTTTTCTGTCTTTTGGAAACATTGAACAATATTTAACATTTTCTTTACCATTTCTCATGCTTCCATTTTTTTTTCCTTTCTAAAGCTTTTAAAGTTTATGTTGGCAAAGCAGAATTCAAAGATGAAATCAATTTATCATCACATTTAGGCAGTTTTCATTTTAACTGATTGTTCTTACCAAAACACAATTTTTTTAATAACTAACAAATGATCCGTACACAGTGACTCTTTAAGCTTTATTTATATGTTGAGAGAAACTTTTTGTGGCTACAGATCCAGAACAATGCTGTACTCTAATGCTGCAGCAAGTGCCACATTAGGGGCAACCAGCATGGACAGCACAGAGTCAAGCAGAAGATAAGGATGTGTGCTGGAACAGGATGAAACAGGGACAGGAACATGGATGGTTTGACTCCCTCTCCCCATCATCATCACCATGGTGAAAAATTTGGTTCATGGTACCTGAGAAGAAGCCTTCTGCCTTCATGGCTCTCTGATGCTGCTGTTGCATGAGTATATCCATGGATGGATAGGATTCCCAGCTGCCTGTGAGCTGTGTTAAATATCAAACCCAACAGGGTTCTTTTAGCCCTGAGAACCAGACGATGGAGTGAGACCAGTCTGGAACTCAAGACTGCTGTCCCTGCATTGACCAAAGCAGTATCAGGGCTAGAGAGGGCAGCTGTAGGTTTCACCTTTGTAACAATTGAAGCCTTTCCTCGTTTCCACAGCTCTATGAGTTTCAGTCTTTTCAGAGCAGTAGTTTTCAGTCCGGCTAAAAGATGTGGTGCCCTCAGCCCACCTCCCCAGAACTCAGTGGAGCTGCCACATCCTCCGTAGCTTCTGTCACACCAATAAGCTGCACCTGTCTGCTGTTGCAAGGCAAGGAGTTGACTCAGACTTGAGACTGCCTCCAAGGAGATGGAGAAGCACAGTGGCACCATGGTGGCTTCATGTGACGTGCAGTAATACAGCCCCTCTCTGTGCACACACTGCTAAGCCCAGGTGTCACTCCCTAGTTGGTGGCTAGATGAGCCACAAAATTCCTTGGCTGTCACTAGGACACCACGTGCCAAGATATAAGGCCCATGTTATAGCCACAAGAGACGCCGACCATCTCTATTCCACTAAGACATGCTGAGGAAAGTGTCCTGTGCCACCCAAACCAACCCCACAGTGCACAGCCTGGGCCCATTCATCCTGCTGCTACACCTGGAGGAGGGATGTCCACTGTGCAGACCTGTCCACCACGGAGAGCCTCCGGTGGCTCATCTCTGCAAACTGACAGCCCAAGCATACAGGGAAATCACATCTCAAACCCCAGCTGGGTTAGAGCCATAAGCTCAGGAGGACACAGGTAAGTGAACTGGCCTTCTTCCTGTCACTGCATCATATGGCAGGGACAGGAGGGCTTCAGTGAACCTTGCATGCACACGCTATGGCATGTTGAGCTCAGGAGAAGCTGCTTGGGGAGTATCTTTGTTACTACCCACTCTGCCTATACGGAAGCCAAGGCTGTGCTTGCCAGATCCTGTGGTTATTTATTCTGGCACAAAATTAGAATAACTCTGTTTGTACTGGAGCATGGGCAGAATTTAACTCTTATTCAAAAAACCAACATGAAAGCAAGGAATATGAATACATTTAAGAGTGTAAGAAAATATATTTATTAAATTTCATGGCAATAGTATGGCAAAATTGTTAAATACATGCGTACTTTTAGACACCCAAGCTATACAACAGGAATTACAACAAGCAAGCAAACTAGGTTTAAAACGTATGCAAAGTTGTATCTTAATGTTAGGTTAGTCTTAAATGTCAACTGCCACACTGAAATATTATATCCCCAACATGATCCCATGCTTCCTTTTTCGAGCATGCACTTGTTTAACTGCTTAGCTAATAAATTTTCATAAGGATACACTTTTTGAATCAGTATTTTACTTGGCATGCTACAGCTTCATTAAAGTGCCTTGTGATGATTTTGCTAAAATTGTAAAAGTACTCTTTCAATAGCAGATTTGGAAGCTGGAAAACTTCAGTATCATTCAGCAACAAAAATACGTTGAATGACTGATTAGATTTAGTGTGTCATGAAGACTAAATCAGTATATCAAGCTGACAAAATATTCTCAGAATTAATTTCTACAGATGACTATTTCAAATTGGCAAATAATATTTTCACTAGTATTAAACAAAAGTCCATTAAAATCTTTGTAAAAACAGAACATAAAAACATCTCTAAACAAATTATTTATGCTGTAAAAAATATGGTATAAAAAGAGCTAAAAAAACATTGAACCTGTTCACAGTATATATTTTTAATGTTACAGCATTATAATACAATGATGTGTGTTTTTTTCGGGTGACCTGTATGATTCCACCAGTTCTGCTGTTTTTGTGCACCACAACAGGCTCAAAGTTCAAACTACTGTTACCTTCAAGTAGGATTTCAGATAAGAGTTGATTCATTTGTCATCTATTTTTTCTATCCCCTGCTTTACAAACTTTTCTGACATCCTATGAAACATAAAATTGTTGTTCATCCTAAGCCACTCTTGAGTCACATTAAGGAAACATTGACAAAGTGATGTTCAAGAATTCTATTTTTCTTGTATTACTATTAAAGAGTGTGACCTTGCCAGTTTCTGTTTTACTGCTTGAGCTATTTTTTTTTTAAAGTTTTTTTTAATCCAAATAACAAAAATGAGAGCATTTCATTTTTTGCTTTGTCCCTGGGTAAGTTTTAATCGCTACATTTTGCACAACATGAGACCAAATGAGTTGCAAAGGTATTGAAGCTTCTTACAGAAGTTGTGCATACACCTCCACTCATGTAGCAACAGTCAAAGTGCAGATTTGGGACTGTCCATAAACCTACCTAGAGATTTTGTTAGGTATCACATTAAAAAATAAGGATTTCATCTGTTCTGCTGCACCAAAGTCATCTGGGCAGTGCTGTCTCAAGAAGAGGGTGAGAGGGATTATTTCCATCCTCTTACAAAACACTTTACTAGAACAGCTCACCTGCATGGGGATGCTGAATCCCTGCCCTCCAAAATGCAGAAGTTCTCTGAGATATTTTTATTATTGTAAAAGCAGAAGGAATTAATAGAATTTTTGTGGGGGAAAAGTATTGTCATGCACCCTGGGACGACTTGTAAAGTTACAGAAACCCTGCCAATACCATCTGAGGTTTATTTGCATAACATGCAGAAAGGAAACAAACACTGGCTATCTTAGAAACACTGGGGAAAATCCAAAGTTATATAAATGGGGGAGGGGAAAGAAAATAGTTATGGAGGAAACTTTTCCAGCTTCTAAGGAGATATTTAAGACTTTGAGACAGTCCTAAACATAATGAAATTAGTTTTTCAACACTCCAACATTTCTGAATCCTTGTCTAGCATGTGGGCTCTGGGACTGCATTTCCAGGCTTGCTAAGGAAAAGGCAAAGAAAAAGCCAATAGCAAATACCGTGAACTGCCAACAGCATCTCTGAGCATCGGCCACACAGGGCACCACTTAATGCATAGCATCACTAGCACTGTGCAGTGTGTTGGGAGGAGTGCAGATGGCAGCTGCTTCCTCTACATGAAACTGCATCTCAGAAGGCATATATTCATGGACAGGACTCCAAAAAAAAAAATCACTCTGGCAATTGCAAGCCAATTTCCTCTGTCATATGCAGAGGTACATAATCATGCAGGCATATATGTCCATAGGGTGTTAGGATGTAGTGTTAAAAATATTAATGTCTTCTGCACTGAAATCTTCATCAAACTCTATGGTGGAACTGAAGATGCTATTTACATGGGAAGCTCTCCATAGATTTATAGTACACAGAGCTTCGGTAGCAGCCTCATTCTCTGAGTGTTACATTTTTCTAATGTATTCAAAATTCTTTTACTATATTTCTATCTACTTATAGGGATACCAGTATTCTATTTGCAAAGCAGTATTTATTTAAAAATAGAGCATACAATTTTCATTGCCTTTTCAGAGTGATGTCTAAATGCCTTCTCCCTCCAATGCATTCAGTTGCCTTCATTTCATGTTCAAATGAGTGTCCTGGAGGACACAATCACAGGAAACATCACAGCCCTAAGCTTTACTCCTGAACCTGTCAACAACAACAAAAACAAAAAGGCAGCTTGGATGTGCCTTTTCAGAGCAGCCTAGAACTTGAGGTCAGCAGGAGTGTGCTGCTGCCGTGTTCTTAGCCAAGGAAAGTTCTGGTCCCCCACATAACCAAAGACGAAGAAACATGGCACATTTGCCAATTGTGCCACGACAGACAACACAGCCACTGGTTCCCTTTGGAAATGTTTTACCCATGAAAGCAGCAACTAGGGATAACAAAGACAGCTTACCACAGCAAACATCAGTTTTCAGGTTCTAAGTCTGCCTATACAACCACTGCATAGCAAGGGAGGTAATTCACCGCCTGCCTGTAATGTTAGCTTACTATTTTGTTGATATATTAACTAGTAATTCTGTGAGGTATATCACATGCAGATCTACCACCCCAAAATTTAACACACAAACCTGAGATCCCAGATCTCACTGCATGTCAGAACAACAAAAATAATGAATGTGTCAAATAGGAGAGTGCACAATGTTACATCAAACATGACTGATGTTCCATGCATACAGTGAAGAGTACAAAAAACCCATTACAAACCCCAAATTGTCACATATGACAGGCATGGCTCAAAAATAAAAAGCAGCAGAACTGATGATTTCCTTTAGAAAGCAATTGCTTGGCATTAATACCCTACATCTCTGAATACTGATCCAACTTGAGGATTGATGCACGGAGTTAGGCATAATAGTGTTTTGGACATAATCCCTTCTGGTCACATCCCTTCTGAAAGTTTGTTGTTGTTTTTTGTTTGTTTGTTTTGTTTTTTCTTTTTAAAAATTTTTTAAAAGCTGCACTTTCTATTCTTCTAGAAAGAGAAGTGAAAAGGCAAAAGAAATAAAACAAAATAGATGTTCTATAAAGGAACAAGACATTTCAGAAAGTGATGGTAAGGAAATGCAGTACTTTAAGCTTCCTAAGGTATTTTTCAGAAAAAAATTATCTGAAGAGGCTCACCAGGAAGCCCAAAGGCACTAGTACAAGAAATCTGATCCCCTCTGAAGTTTACAATTGTTATCAAAGCATTTAGAGGCTAAAGAGCACCATGATTTGAAAGTGAATTTGGTACAAAGACATTCCTAAAGATGTTTTACTAGTTTAACATGGCACTTGGGCTCAGAAAGCAAGTCCATTCCCTGACAGTCCTTGTCGTTCCTCCTTACTGCTCCATGCACCTAGAGGTGTCCTCACATGATCACAACATTAGCACACAGTCTCTCACTACCCATCTAGCATTTGGATTCACTACTGAAAATCTAAGACAGACATTTGAAAGGAGCCCTCACTGGCAGCACTGAATAGGCTCAAAGGAAACCACAGTGAAGTAGCTGAGCTTCCAAGTGCTGGAATGGCAACTGCTTGCTGGTTCATAACTATTAAGCAATAATGATGCTACAGATACTGCACAAGCCTCTGTCTCTCCCACGTTTGCCCCACTCTTCTCTTACTGAAGACGTTGCTGTATACTGGACTCTTCTGCCCTGCATCCTGGGAGTCAGAACATCAGTCAAATAAAAGGTATGGTCAGAGTTTAAAAAAAAAAATAAAAATATGAATAATTAGATAAGAAAGCATCAAGGCAAACCATATATTTGTGGGGTTTTCGCCTATCTATTCACTTAGAAATGAAACAACTTAAAATGTTGTTGCCTTTACTGAATAGGAAGAGCAACGTACAGAGAAACCTGAGTATGTGATGCTTGTGTGTAAGTGATTCACCAAGGGAGCACTCAATGGTCTAAGGCTGCTCCCTGTGAGCTCAGTGTGTCCTCTGCAGCCACCCTGACTTCCAGTCTGCCAAATAAAAAATTGCTAGTACTCTCAAACTTCAGTTTGATTTTGCTTCTTGCAATACACAGCCATATGAAAAGCATAGTTATTCTTCAAGATCAGCTCTTCTGCTACAGAGAGTTTTTTTCATTTGGATCACCGTACAATACTGATTGCTCCTCTGCATTGAGAAACTGCTTTACAAAAAATGCAAACCACTACCCATACACTGTCCATGACATCTTCTGCTTTCAATTAAAAGCATATAGCAGCACAAGCTAAAATTCCTCTTAGCAGATAAACACATTAGGCCAAATCTACACTAGTGAAAGAAATGCTCTAAAAGAGAGGTATTGTGAAAAAGATTTGTTACTATTAAGATTTAGCCACCTCTTAACTATTAAGCACAATGGGTAGAACTGCTTCCTTTCGTGTATTAGTTTAGTTTTCTGAATAAAAGGTCATGAAACTTTCTCTTGTGCTGATGTCTGGTGACAAATGGACATCAGCTCTTTGCGCTGCCTGTCTTTTCTTTTGCAGCCCTAATACTCCAAGACTCAACCTCAAAAGCCAAATCCTATCTGTGCTTTATGTTTTTTTCAGAGACACCTTGCCACCTCTGCCAGGTCTGCAGACTGATCTATTTTTCACTTCTTCACAGGTCACTCTTCCAGGAGGCACACACGAGCAGTTGTTACTGATGATGATTTGGATCCTAATTAATGTTGTGCGTTTTTGTCAGTTTTTCATTCTATGAAGATGGCAGAGACATGCCAACAGCTGAAACTGCACCATCCATTGCTGCAATTACCCACAAAGTAGCTAATGAAATGGAGATCTGAAAAAAAAAAGGTTAAGACTTTATGGAGACCTTTTTTGATCAAGCTGTTTAACATCTGACACCTCATCACTGTGTTTTACAGTAATGAACAGGTAAGTTAGAAAGTTTCTCCTGTACACTAGTGAAATTCATGTATGCCACAGTCTGAAGTTTACACAGTGAAATACTACAGTTACAGCTGTCTAGAGATGCAAAAGTGAAAACAAGCACGTTAAAAGATGATTGTTCTCAACACTCCTTTAAGCACAAAAATGTACATAATTTAATCTTTCTTTGCATCACATATCTGGTAAAGGAGAGGTAGAAATAGCCGCACTAAAACCTCCTTGGGTTTCTCCCTGCCACTAGAGAAATCCTACCTTGTACTCTCAGGTAGGATTTGAATAGAAGGTTCTGTGGGGTAGACACTTAAGATCAGCCAGGCAGCAGGTAATACAAAGCTAATATAATAAAGACCATCAAAAGAGCAATTTCCTCTCAAGGAGCTAGTACTACTACCTCTAATTTCACATGCCAAACTGCTTGGACAGCTAATGTGAGCGGACAGAGATTTCCTCATGGCTTAAACTACCACATAGTGCAAAGACTGCTGGACACAAAGGGTGAATGGAATACTGTACCACTTTGAAGCAGGACGTCTGGAGCAGAAGCTATGAAATACAAAATGCATTAGTGCAACACCTTAGGAAAGATTAACTCCTTAACCATAGGACAGAAAAAATATAGAGCATCCTAAGTTAAAAAAAAAAAAAAATTAAACTTTATGCAGTTCTTATTGAGGTTTCAATCAGTGTTACACCTTTTTTCCCCAAGTTTGTACCCCTGAGTCAAACATTGAATAAACATTGTACAGTAGGGACAGAAACTAGCGTCTAGTTAAAAAGCAAGAGGTTTGAATGGCCATTGCTTCAGAAGTGTTAAACAGTGACAATAACCTTCCATATGGGAGAAGATAAAAATAGCACTCTCATTTGCTTTTGGTTTATAACTAGGTAAAAGATCTCAACAGTTTCCAACTACACTGTTTCTGTGTATTAAGCTGAGATTTGTGATAAATGAAACCTTCAGTAAGGAAACCTGTTGGGGCTGCATCATTTGAGTCTGCATGGTTGAGAACAACTACAACAAAGCAAAGCAATCTTTCCAAGTTATAAGTTGCATGAGACTATGTTACTCTTGGAGCACTATGTGAAGGTAGGCAGAGTTCTTTGACTATGATTATAAGGGCTCTAAACCCAATACCCCTTATATCCAATATATTTTACTAGAGTAATAACTAAATTGCTATAACTTTGGCCTTTCGGCATCTATTACAATGGAATATTAACACTTTCACTATCTCAAACATGATAACATTCAGCTCACTAGAACTTCTGCTGACTGTCTCCAAGAATAATTCATGCTTTTTGCACTTTTCTTCTTGCTTTCTTTACAACATCAGGAATAAAAGCTTATTTGGAAGGCAGGTTCAGGAGCAGCAAGGAGTCACTATTAATCATTTGGTTTGTTCTGAAAAAAATGTGTGAAGGACCACCCTATGTTAATGGGTTTAGGAGAGTCTTCATCATCCTTTGAGGGAAGAAGAAACTGTCGGGAATTAATGGAGCATGGGCTCCCAAAGGATGCATTTTCATTGTTGCTTTCAACTGATCCAGGAGAGTCTGGAGTGTCCATGTTCCAGGCATTTGTGTTTGCTTGAGGTCTGTAACCTGCAGTTTTATCCAATTCTTCCTCCACAGGTGAGCGACCCTCTGTGTTCAGAGCACTGACAGAGAGCTGCATTTGTGGCTTATAGCCTGCTGTAGTCACTACGTCTATTTCTGGCTCCTCCTCTGATTTAATTTGAGGCTGATACATTGATTGGATGTCAATGTAAACCACCTGAGATGACCCCCCAGGTTCATCTGTAGGGGGATTTGAGATCTCCTCCTCAATGATAGGGGGGCAGTAGGACACAACAACGTGATTCTCCATTTCTGAGTCAGAGCCATCTTCAGGCACGGTGGTGTCTGCTGCTGGGGACATCATCTCCGTGTCTTCGATCTTGGGAGCTGCAGACTGTGCTTCCACCACTTCAACACTATTTGGGGTGCATGGGTTCATTTCCAGTGTTTTAAGCGTCTTGTTCCCCTGAAGTGAGAAAAAGGGGAGAGCTTTAGCTTAAAAAATCTGGAAAACCTGAAAGCAACAACTTGCCCAAATTACACCAGTATGTCACTTGTAGACTGTACTCATCCCACAGCCATTAATACAATATAACCACAAAAACTGGTTATGATTTTTTTGGCTCATCACATATTCCTGTTAATCTTGAAAGTATTTTACACAAACTAAAGAGACTTGAGATCTTGCAGGAAGTGTTTGAGAACTCTTTCCCCAAATCTCAGCTTTGTGTAACCCATTCCAGAAGGCTGTTTAAATGCCCAGTTCCATCTACTGTAACTACCAGGAGATTAAGATACGGCATACACATCTCTATACTTTCTACCTCTCCCAACACTATCACAAAGACTGATATGTTACTCCCATATTGTTATCATGTACTGGCACATCTCATTAGTTCAGGAAAAGAGAAATGCAGCAGTCCCTTCCTAGTGCAAACATTACAGGTAACTACATTAACAACAACAAAGCTCTAGATAGCACCTGACAGAAGTTACTCAGTAAATTGGCTTGTTTCCCCCGCCACAGAGTTTTTTCTGCAACTGGAACAGATGAGTCAAGGTTTGCAAAAGAATTCTTTAACTTGCAATATCTTCCAGAAGTTTAAAATACTAGATTTAAAATGAGAGTTACCTCGCAGATGTTCCTCTGAAACTGCAGTGCCTTACTGTTCTCAGGATTCGGGATCTCTGGATAAAATGTTTCTTTAATCCTTTAAAGATGAAAGAACAAACTTTTATAAGTTAGCAAGGCTCGAAACATTGCAAATACACAAAAGGAGTCAGGACATTTCTCTTTAATTCAGAATACTGAAGACATCTGGTGCAAAGATTTAGTGCATTGAACTTTCCCTGAGTATAATGGAAAAAACAGCATTTTTTTTTTTTTTTTTTTTTCAAGTGGGGAACTTGATATGCCACATTTACTAAAAGTCAAAGATGGGATATCTACCTGAGTGTTTGTGGATGGCACACAAATTACAGTATCTTACCAGTTTATTTCCATTTGGTAACCATTTATAAACAGTGCTTACTGGGAGACATGCTCCTGAAAATCGTTTTTGCATTCCTCACTCTGAACTCTCTCCAGTGTGTCTCCTTCTACAATGTGTTTTTGCCACCCAACTTTGAAGAAAACCCACTGACATCTTTGGGTACTTAGAGCAAACAAAGAATGACTACAGTGATGGCAAACCCTAGCACTGAAACCAACACTTCCAGGAAAAGATGAAAACTGAATGCAGGCACTCACCATTCCCTCTTTCGATAGCAGAAGATGCTGGCCACCACTCCAAGCAGCACCACCACTGCCACAGGGATGAGAATTGCAATGATTAATCCTACAGCTGGGGGACAAAAAAGGGAAGGACAGTAAGCATATATCCAAAGTTATCAGCAAGTTTTAGGCCTTTTACAACACCCACAGTGATTAAAGACCATCTCATTAAACTCATGTAATAGTGGTCTGCAAAGTGTGACCTATACCATTACCCTTCCCTGTGGCTGGAAGGGCAAAAGTCCACCCATAAACAGAGCTGATTCAGTGACAACTACAGGAATCAGCAGACACTTCTATCTGATTTTTTAATTGCAAAAGGTTTCATGTGCTGCACAAGGCCAATCCCATTGTGATTCTGTTCTCAAAAGCACTGGAATTGCACTTTCATGCTACCTGAGCTGGCCAAACCTTTGGTAATGGCTCTTAGAGGCCAACAAGTCAATGCACAAACCGCACTGTCTCTTACATGTCTCTACAAGGCTTCTAATCCACAAGTTTTAGCTCCAAAAACATTCCCACTGCCTTCCTCCATTGATGTTAAGTGCCTTAAGTTTGATTTTTCCCGTATTGTAGTTGCACCGCACTGTCTTTCATTAGAAATATTTTTTTTTTTTCCCTCTCATTCCCCTAATTCAATCTCTTTTTTTTTATCTAATTGCCTTTTTGTGTTTGTTTCTGTCAGGGGATCAATAAAACTGAATTCAAAGCAGAGAGGCATCTGTTTACAATTCTGAAACTGATAAATATTTCCACAATGTCTTTCTTCCCACCATCTATTAGCAGATATTCATCATGGGAAACCTGACAAAAACAACTAGCTGCTTGAGAAGACCAAGCTCAGACTCCACTATATTTAGTAGTAGCTTAGAACTTATTTTTCTTGTGTACATTACTATGAACTACAAAGTAGCTGCAATAAGAAAGAATCTTTCCCTCACCCTGAACCGTACCAATTTTTGTATTTATACATAACCAACCAAATGAAGGACAAATCCGACTGTAGGCCCAAACTACCTAGGGAGACCAGAAAAAACCCCAACAAAATGAACTCAGCTTTATATACATTGTACAGCTCCTATGCTAAAGACTATTAATGAACATGGATAATCAACTTACAGTCCTCCTTTGTCACCACATAGAGGCTGTTTGGAGGGCTCAACCCACCAGCAGTGTAGGCTTGTAGCTCCAGCTGGTAACTTGTTTTGCCTTGAAGATCAAGTATTTTCATAGACTTCTGTGTTAAGTTAGTGATATTGTTCACTTTAAGTTCTGGATTCCCTGTTTGTTTGGAAGCAGTGAGAAAAGCATAACTGTGTAAGAAAGGATTCACAGTCTGAGCTTTAGCAAAACTTTCTTGAAGCCAGCATGTGAAACCTGAAGAACAGTCTGTGTAACGGAAAACTGAAATAAAGAATCCTAGCAATGCTGCTTGCTTATACAGCACCAAACAGCACAGGAGTGTGGTGCTGCCACTTCAGATTGACCTCATTTCCTTACACTCCTCCTTGTCCTCTTTATTTCAATGTGACTCAGGCTTCAGTTCTGTACAAGATGGGTCCTGGAAGAATATACCCTATTAAATATAGCCATGTAACCTCCCCCTGTCTCATCTACTCAGGGTATCTGTGCACAGGACAGCGTGACACATTGCCGCTTAGTCACTGCATAACTTTATGGCCTGACTGAGCCAGGGTTTTCTCCAATTTTTGCTTTATATTGAAAAACAACCGTGCTAACCACACAAGGAGATGATTATTTTAAACGCATTTGTCACATATCAGGGGCCAATTATGTCAATGAGTAATGCAAGTGAATTATTATTAAAGCATCTTTTTTATTAAAGTGAAATTATTTAAAAAAAAAAAAAAGAATAAAAAAGAAAAAAAGAAAGACAGTATAAGCAAGGAAGTTGCAATCTATACAATCCATTTACCTGATTCTGAAAGTCTAGGCTTTATAGCATCTTTTTCACCTTTTGCAAAGGAAAGAAGATACCCTTTTAGAAACCCCCGGCATTCTTCAATAGGAATATCTTCCCATTTTACCAATATAGAATCTGAAGAAGTTTCTTCGACAGTAAAATTTGGTGCACTTTTTGGCGCTGTAGGGAGAATTATGAAGGAAGAAACTAGTGAGAAATCACCTTAAAATTAAATGCTGAAGCCATGTAAGTGTTTAATCAGTTTTATTTCAGGGTTAGCATTTCCAACTTTTTCCTCAACACTTCCTCCCTCACTGTCAAGAATATGTGAAAAGACTTAGTATGTGATGCTACAAAAGTACAACCATGCTGGTCTCATTGTTATTAATTACTCCAGTATTATCTACTACGAGATGCTGAAATAAAAATTTCTCTTTGGTCAGTCTTCTTACAGACTCATACATGTAAATACCCTTCTTCCTGCAACAAGCCCCAAAAGATTCTATAAACATTCTGAGGATACAAATTGCTTAGCTTTTAAAGGCTTTAACGCTAGCTTCATAACTTTTCCTAAAATTAAACAAACTCCACATTCCTATCTTGGAAATCTATCTCAGCTTAAAAGAACTACTCCTAGTAGTCTTTGCAAGTCCTTACTCCAGTAACTGAAGCCTACTGAAAGGTCACATACACCAGGACTTAGTCTGACACTTGGCTTTGATCTACCAATGCTAAACTCATGTTTAAGAATGCATCTATTTTTCTCTTGGTTATCTGTCCAAAAGCAAATCTGAAGTTTTACAATGGATCTATGCTCTTGTGCAACATGAACACATTTCTTCGTTCCTGATAAGTTTCTTCTGTATGTTCAATGCATTTTTAGTCCCCCAAACTCTTTATACCTTGAAAGCTTCCAATCTGGCCAGAACACATACGGAAAGCTCTTCTGGGGAACTGTTCAGAATTTTTACAGATATACAAATGATTGAAAGTTGCGTTTCTGGCAATATCGCCTTAACCTCACCTTCAACCTTAGCAATGAAATAAACAACTGCCTTTCCAAGGGCTCAGATTACGTCAGCAATTCAGTTTTCCAGGCAAACTATTCTAGTAGATCACACACTGAACTTCAAAGCAAAATGGGTGTTGTAGTTACAATACAATACAATACAGCTGTGGTCTTAAAGGGTAAAGTCATGTTCATACACCTGGGAACAGAAAGCACTCAGACACTAATGCATCTCCAGGCCAGCAAAGTTTACCCCTGGGTCAAACCCCAGTTACCCAGACAGGATTGGTATGGGACAGAATACAAGCACAATTCTCAAAATGGCTTGTGCTCTAAGATCTAGTTTTGGTCTAAGAAGTGTTTTCAAACAGAAATGTTATGGACACTTTTTATATTTGCTGAGCTGTACCAAATGTGCTCAGAAGTTTACTTTGACTTGACGAATCAAAAAAAGTTGCCTCCTCTCCTGCAGAAGTGATGCCAGCCATGTGTTTCAAATTATGCCTGTGCCTACAATCTCAAGACCACTGTCTTCAGAATGAACTTCTCTGCCACCACACAAGCTGGAGAACACGGGGTTATTGCATGCTTGGAAATGGCTGGAGAAATGTACTACAGTTATACACAGAGAACAAACAGAAGTCAGTAGTACCACATGGTGATTCTGGTCTCAATCTTCTTCTGCCAACACTGAGCTAAAAATAGACACAGTCTAAATTCACTTTGTAGAGATCCTGAATGATAAAGTGCACTTACGCAGCTCTTTCATATACCCAGTTATGTTTTTCAACAACTGATATCCAGTGGATTTGCAGCCATACACTGAAAAGTTGTATCTCACGCCAGGTTTAAACAGAGCTGCAAGAGAAAATGGCTGTAAGAATATTTCACTCCTGAAGTATGGTGCTTTTAAATTTCACATGATTATGATATAAATATGTATTAAAAAATTACAAAGTGTAATGGCATAAATTACCAATGGCAAAAAACCCATCCCTACTTGTAATTCCTACAAAAGCCATGCCATCAGATGTGGTTTAGAAGCAGTAACCTAATCTAGCTCCCAGAGAAAGTTTAGTACTAAACAAAGAGGATTCAAAACAAGCTACTCAAATTGCATAAATTACTCCTTCCATAGGGAAACACAAACTGAAGTTACCAGAAATAATCCCCTTCCTTTCCTCCCACAGCAACCATGTAGATCTTGCCTCCTCCTCAGAAATACAAATACATTTTGAAATAACCAGTCTTATTGGAGCAACAGTACGAAAGATATGGAAACAACTCTCAAAAGTGATAGTGAAGCACTTTACCAATGAACTTCAGTTCTGAAGTGACTTTACAAAACAAATAGTCTTAAAAATTACGCTTCACATGTGTTTGATGGAGATACAAGTGTTTGATGCTACAACATGTAAATAATTTACCACTTTCTAGGCTTTTCTCAAGTCAGGGCTGTACACTACTTTCAAGATTTTTTCTAAACAAGATGCTTCTGTGAAACTATACAGAAGTCAAACATCCAGGTCCAAGCTGAGAGATTCTCCCGACAGGATTAAGCACCAAGGTGGATTTGCCTGCTTGAGCCCAGAGCTAGCAGCTTGATAACTTGCACAATGTGCTGCAAGAACCATTCCATGGAAAAGCTCAGGAGCAGGGCAGTGCATCGTTGGACAGACATGGTATTGTCTGCTTGAAAAAAGCAAGCTCTAGCTAGCACAAACGAAAACAACATGGACACAGTGTTGTAATTACAGACAGAAAACCATATTGCCTCCACCCTCCCAGGTCTCACTCCCCCTCAATTTTCCTATGTACACAGCTCCAAGTTGTTTTCCTGAATGGAGACTTTAATACTAAACTCTTTTAGAAAGGAAACATACATCTCTGCTGTTTGAGACAGCAGAGAAAAAAATCCTTTATCTTTCATGGGTCCTCTCTTTCCTCTTCTGCTCCTCCTAGTCCCACCACAGCTGAGTTTCATTTCCCTGATCTGCCCACCAGCATCTAGAGACCTGGAATGTGCCCTGTTCCAGGAAATTTCAATTGTTGACAGCAAGCCAACACATGGAGGTCACACTTAAAAAAATCTGCCTCATGTAAAAACAACGGATTAGTCTTCCCCCATCCTGAGCAGCACTGTTTATGTTTAGAATCCAAATAAAACCCCAAACCCTAGATTAACCATTATGCATTAGGCTGAGTTAGGAAATTGTTGGGTACAGCTAGAAGAGGTAATTTCAAAACAGTTAATAAACACAGGATGATAAAAGTTAAGTCAAGACTGGTATTTGGATTTGGCAAGACTGCGTATGAAATTAAAATAAACACAGTACCAAGAAGGATTTCATTTATTTACACAAGTATGCAGAAGCGAAACAATCTTCAACCTATAGCACTGGTGCTGCTCTCACTCCACTCGCTGCTTAGGCTCTCCAGAAAGACTAATAAGAAATTACTTTTGACTTACCAGATTTTATCACTGCATTTGTTGTATTTGAAGGAAATTTCTGCCAGTCCACACTACAGGGTTCAGACCCAGATGAATGACACCATTTTACTACGTAGCCACAGGTCATGTTGGGGTAAGAATCCCAAGAAACATTAATTCCATTACCCATTGCCACGGCCTGTCCTGCTATGATATTGTCTGCAACAAAGGTGACACAAAAATCAGAGGGCAGACACTTGTCTATAGTCCAAGATGAAGAAAGCCTTCCAGACACAGCACACAATGGCTTTATAAATGGCAGTCATTTTTAAGAATGAGAGGTGTGCGTGAACTGTGAAATCCAAAGTGCTGCACTCAGCTGTGCTTTCTGAAGTGCCCGAAATCAGACGTAGCCTGCAGCAAATCCCTCAGCCAGCCTTAAGTATGGTGACGAGAAATGCAGCAACTCAGGACTGGCTTAAAAAGCACTTTTGCAAGGTAAGGATTTACAGCAGATGTCAGATTCAAATATGAATTGACACCAATCTGGCAGGAGCCTCCAGCTATAAATTCCTGCTGTCATTTTTTCAAATGGTTTGCTTTGTGTTTCTTTCAGAGCGTCTTGCTGTCACTCGCCCAACCACAGACAACCATTTTTCACCAAGAATCAACAGCAATAATCACATCCTTGGCATGGATGTAATTTATGATCTTTATGGAGGCTTCAGTCTACCAAGGGTAAATTAAACAAACAAACAAAACAAAAAAAAAAAAGCAAGTAAGCTTTGCCTTTTGTCTATTTTTCTTATTTCTGATTATCAAAGGTTTAACTTCTCTTAAAGTGATCAGCTCTGGGAACAGCTCCTGATTCCTGCAGCTTCCCTCCACGGCTGTCCATCAGCTGGGACCCTGCAGAGCTAAGGGATGGTTTCCAAGGGCCATCACAAAAGCAGCGGCCCCATGACAGATCTGCAAAAACAATCTCAGGGTTTTAGTTTTCCTTTTTCAGTGTTCTCATTTACGCTCCCTATTGAGTCTATTATTTCATTTTATTAAAGCTATAAACTATGGAAGGCTGAAGGGCAAGGACAGCTTTTAGGAATCAGTGCTATGAAAACTACTCCCACAGACATGCTGTGAATGTTGAAGAACTGTCTATTTTTAAATAATCTTAACATACAGCTAAGTGTACAATCCTTTTCTAGCTTGCTCATGGCAAGAAAAAGACATAATTAATAAAAGCAAGTCAACTCCACAAGTATTTCCATACTTCTTCCAAAATAACTACTATGCATCCAGTGAAACTATACTTCTATGATGCTGAAAAAGACAGTATTTCTAATTACCTGGCTTTAATTTTCCTATTTACAGAAAGGAGGTTTTACTGACCATGAGCACATACTCTAAAAAATGCTTAAATACATGACACTCAATTTTATTTCCTGAGCTAGATGACTAGAAATTCACCATGAGCAGTACTGCTCATTTTGATGTATTTATAGCTGCAAAGTAGACTAGGAGAAAATAACTTCTACCACTAGAGTACTGCTGTGGTAGGGGAGCCTGGAACAGCCAGATTACATGCCCTGACTCTCTACAGAGCTCTTTTCAGAGACAGTGACAAATTAATTAAGGCAGAGTATCGTTTGTTTGTGTTTTCAGTTTTCAGACAACCTCAGCAGATCTCCAGCTTCAGAGCCACTGCTCTCTTATGGACATTAAAAGCACTTAAAAACTATACACAGGAAGCAGACAGAAAAGATGTTTGGGCAAAAATGTCATCCAGTTCAGTGAATGAGTCATCTTTCATGACTCCAGTCAGTGACTCAGATAATTCCTATACCAACTTGGGAGCAAATCTTTAATGAGTACAAGTTGGGTAACACCGAAAAGAACCTCAGACATCTGAGTGAAAGCTATAAATGAATGCTAAGCTGTAGCTGCCATCAGCTATTCCACACCACAGACCTATTAAAGAGACCTCTCTGATTCCCAGGGTTTTGTTCTTTCACTGCTGAAGGAGAGCTCTACAAGCACTTTCAATCAACTGTCCCATACAATTACTTTTCCCTCCAACAGGCAGACTAAGAACATACTTTAGGGTGCTGGTGTTGGTACTGTGTCCAGTTCTGAGCTCCTCAGGAGAGGAAAGACGTGGAAGTTCTAGAGTGGGTACACTGAGGGCAATGAAGATGATAAGGAAATGGAGCATCTCTCTTATGAAGAAAAAAACCGAGGGAGTTGGGTCAGTTCAGACTTGAGAAGACTGAGAGGGGACCTCATCAATGTCTGATCTGAAGAGAGGGTGCCAAGAGGATGGAGTCAGGCTCTGCTTGGTGGTGCCAAGCAATAGAACAAGAGGTAGCAGGCAGAAACTGGAGCACAGGAAGTTCCATCTAAATATGAGAAGAACTTCTTCACTGTGCACTTGAATGGGTTGCCCAGAAAGGTTGTGGAGTCTTCCTCCCTCCCTGGTGATATTCAAGAACCATCAGGACAGAATTCTGTGCCATGTGCTCTGGGATGACCCTGATTGAGCAGGGAGTTTGGACTAGCTGACCCACTGCAGTCCCTTCCAACCTGACCCATTCTGTGATTCTTTTCTTGGAGAACCTCAGGAAACATTATGTACATACATTCTTCTTTACATAGACAAAACCCTTGTTTTTTCATCTCACTATGAATCTCAGTCAAAACACTTTTCTTCCTGTGAGAGATGGCCCTGTTTTACCAGAAACTGAGTTGCAAGACAGCAGCTGTTATACCTGTTCTCTGAGTGGGCAAGCAAACCCATGCATGTGCCTGGCAAACAAGCAGAGAGAGGCCTCACTGTGTAAATCTGTCCCCCAGGCAGAGTATCAGCCACATCTGGAGCTACAGATTTGGGCTTTAGGAGATTATACTTTTCCTGGCAGGCAGGGAAACATGGACTCTTAACAACCATGTGCAATATTACCTTCTCCCCAAGTTCAGTGTTATGAGCAGAAAATGATTATCTGGCTCAGCTACTTCCCTTTACAAAAGCCCTCAGCAAGAGTGGCACTGCTTTAATTGGGAAGCTAAAGCCTACCTCCTTTTCAAACACTGTCTGCCTAGTACAGGGATGCCAACACTTTACCAACCAGCCCAATTAATATTCTCCTGCAGAACTCACAGGCATTGAACTAACAATTCTCGCCTCAAAAAGCCACACAACACCCCCAAAACTTTATTGATTCTCTTTAGCATGTGACACTTCTCGGTGTCTCAAAAAGAACATCCAGAAATAAACTCAGCTCCCTAAATATCCACACCAATGCTTTGAAGCCTCATTCACTTTGTTTCTGGGAGGTCTCCAGAAAGTGCAAATAGCTGCAAAGAGTGCACACTATCACCCTTTTATGTAGACAGTACGATTAATTGGCAAGGTATTACACTGAAAGCAAAGATGCACTTTTTCCACTACACAGTAGATTTGGGTGGGGAAATAAACACAAACAAACAAAGCATTATTTTTCAATCAACAAACTCGTTCTGGCTTTGAAGGTTTTGAAGGCTTTGAACTCATGTCTGGGAGCACTCACCAGTTGGAAGCTCCACGCTTGTTATCCTTGAAGGAGGCGACGAGCCTGCTTGGTTTTTGGCTACAACGCTAATTACACAGTCATTTTTTCCAAGTTTTATCTCAGTACTGTTTGAGGGTTCAGTGACTACTTTATGCACCAGTGGTGTCTCTAGCAGGTAGCAGGACACTTCGTGAGACACTATTCTTCCATTGGCTTCAGAAAGGGATAAGGGCTATGAACAGACAAAGAAAAACCATTAGACTGAAAATGCATAAAAACCCATAAACCTGAAATGCAATATACAGAAGACAACACAGGATAATATGAATTTAATGTTCCTGTCTAGTGTGATGTCTGTATAAGACTATGAGGTAAAGAAGTTATGCAAGTGTGATTTTGAGAATTACCACATAAGTTCCAAAGTTTTTAATTTTCAAATGGGACATATAAAAAGCTTAATTCTTGCTGTGAAATGCTTCTCAATGCAATGTTTAAAATTATAAAATTTCAATAATATTTTCATTTGGGGAAAAATACTTGTCTCAGTGGATGATTCCAAAAAAAAAGCTAAGAAAAGTAGTCTGGTTTATTGACTATAAACTTCATTAATTTATAAATGTGTGAGAAAATATTTTTTTATACTGTTACAGTTACATATTTTAAAAGTTCAAGTGTCCTATCTACCTTCCAGAAGATTTTCAGACTTTCTCCAGAAGAACTTCTCTCTCTCCAAATGTCTGGTCCTCTTGCAGGAGCTTAGAAAAACATAAGAGTGGTAGTTTATTTTCCCAAGTTCCCCAACAGACAATTTACCATCTACTGAAAAGTTAGGTTTTTAGATGACTAATTTTAAAATATATGGCCTCACAAGTTCAACATTTTCCCTTCAAAGAGTAAGATAAACTTACGGGCTTCTGATGTTGTGTACTCCTCTACCCTGCTCCAGTCACTCCACCTCCAGAACTGGTCAGCGGCTGAACAGCGCACCCTGAACTGGTATTTCGTATATGGGCGTAATGCATTCAGATGAGCTGTGTAAGCCGAGGATTTCCCACCAGGCATGGAGATATTGTGCTGTTAAAAATTTACAGAAATTGACATGATTTTTTTTTTTTCCCCTCCTAGATTATGCTGCTAGTCAGCATCTAAAAAGGTGATATTTTTTCCCATGAATGCTGACAGTGTGAAAGCTGCAGTCAAGCCCTATGAAGAAAATAATGGAAAAGAAAAATATTTCCTATGCAACCACCCCAAACAAAGGAAAAATTTTCAGAGGTCCCCCCAAATAAAATCATATATATCACAGAAACTGAAATATGACAGCAGGTAGCACCTTTGAGTTGTAAAGAACAAAAAGGAGAGGAAATACTGATGAGCCTTCAATAGGAGGAGCTCTGCACACAGCAGGCTATTGCTTCCTTCCCATCTATCCCATCCTGTCCCTCGCTGTCCCATATGCAGCAAAACTGCTCACATGAGGCAGGCCAGGATTTCACCTCTGGTATTCAGAACCTGCACTTCCACTGAGTACATGCACATTAGACTGTCGGGGCAGAGGCTTTTCTCCTAAGAGACATGCACGAAAGTACACTAAAGACAACTTGTTAGACTAAGATGTTTATCATGCAGTTTGCTTCCTCTGTTTTTCCTTCAAAAGATAGTATCTGAATCTAACCCAGGTGATCTCAGTTCACAGCTCTTATGACAGAACTAGTCTCTCCTATTCTTAAAATGGTGCAAGTCTACGAAGCATTTCAGTTTCATGATTACTTAAAGAAATCCTAAGCCTGGGAATATTTTTTACTGCATCTAATTATAACACATGTGCACTGCAGCTGCCAAAAACTGGATTCCAAGTGACTTTAAGATGCAACTAATTGTGCATTTCTAAAGCCAAATGACAACTTCAAAAATGTTGGAAAAGCCAACAATCTCTCATACGGATGGAAAAGCTTCTGAAAACATCCTCAAAATGCCATGTAAAACCCCATAACAATTTCACAGCTACTTTTGTTTGTTACGGAGAACTCCTGGAGTCTTTTTATTAAGCAACCAGTGACAACATAACAAGCTGTAAAAGCTTCTACCGAGCTGTTGCTGCATTACAAAATATCTGTAGCTGTGGACTCTGACACAGGTGCAGGGAATCAAACTTCTGTGGAAGTGCAAGACCTGACTATCTCATATGATTGTTCTGCTAGCATCGTTCACAAACGAATGCGTGCCCCAGGCTTTGAGCTTCGTATTCCAAAAATATCTACGAGTTCCTTTGCAGTACCTTATCTCTGATATTAGTTAACACTTGTCATTACAGAGAAAATATAAAAGCTTAAGGCTTATGCACTCATTAAGTGCTTTGAAAGTATTTAAAAAATACTCTTACAGAGCATGCATTAACTACTACCTTATTATTTTAAAGGCATGTACATAATGATTATCTTCAGTCTTAGCTGCATAATTTCTGTGGCTTGACCTAAGTTATTCCAGGCTGTGCCTAACCACTGTGCCCAACTAGCAACTAAATGCAGAGGGTAATACAATACTGCTAAAAATCAAACAAGCACTGTAAAAAGCAGCCTCTGAGGTTTATGTGCTCAAATTACAAATTCAGGCTCTGTGCAGCAAGACCTGACAATTCAGCATGCGCCTACCCAAAATGGTCGGAGATCTGAATGCACAAAAATCCGGGGGGTAAATCTCAGGTCAACTGAACACGAAGTTGTCATTAGGCTTCCCCGGTGACACAGGTCACACCACACTAACTTAAGTAGTACAGAAGAAGAGGATATATTCCTACCACCTAAACTGACTGTTCTGATGCCTGTGTCTAAATTAGTATCCTAAGCTCCTCTGACAGTCGGCAGAGTAAATATGCAGCTCCAGTCAGTGACACAGAGCACCAAAGCTGGGCAGCAGCTGGAAGCCTGAATGGCTGAAAATCTGCATCTACCCCACAAAATACCACTTCTCTCCTCACTGGGAGATTACGTATATCCAGTGGGAAAATCCTTCCCTATCCTGACTCTACATCATTGACATACAAGGAGGTTTAGCAGCTGCCTGTTATGGCCACGTGCATACCAACTGCTGACAGCAAACAAATAAACTGTTCTCCAAGGGGAAAAAAAGAAAAGAGAAATTCAGCTGCAGACTACAAGATCTGAAACAACCACCATGGAAGTCTTCAGGGCAGCAGTGCATCCTGGAACAATTGTGTATTAATAGTTAATGTTAAGTTTGCACCAGGAAGCAAGCTAAGCTTGCACCACTAAGCACAAGCATTAGCATAAAGCACTATGCACAGCCTCCAAGTACCAAATAGCATGGTGACTTTGACCTGAACTGCTTAAAACAAACAAATAACAACAAAAAACCCCAAACAAACAAAACAAACAAACAAAAAAACCACCCCCCCAAAAAACACACACACACACCCCCCCCAAAAAAAAAAAAGGAAGAAAAAGAGAGAGAAACTAGGCAGCAACAGAGATGAGCAGGAAGTTTTCTGATTTTAGTAAATGAACCTCTACTCGTTACTACACTAATCATTTAATAACATTATCAGAATGAAGCTCTTAGCATGAGAAAAGAATTTGAAATGTGATCAGTGAAAAAGACGACATCTGTGCCAAAAAATAATCCATTAAAAGCAACACTTACTAGTTTTTGCTCAGAGTGACCACTCCTAATTTCAATTTGACACAGAAGCCTGATCTGAGCAAAGCTGCCATTTATAAACCAACGCAGATGAATGCTTGTAGAGTTGTTTTCAGAAACAGTCAACTTCTCTGGGGTTTTTGGATGAACTAAAAAATAAAGAAAAAACCTTCAGTTCTAAGTCAAAAAACCATATTCACTTCAGTGCAGAAAAATCTGATTTTAAAAGACTAAAGAGAATCAGTAGGATAAGTGATCCAGTCAGCAAGTGGGAAAACTGGTGCTGCGAAAGTGCCTGCGAACAGTCTCATTCCTGACACTCTTCTCAGCTATCAAACGTGGAAATAGATTTACTTAAGACTGAGTCTACCAGCACATGAGATAAAAAGTTGGAGACACAGATAAACATTTTCCCTCTTACTGACTTTATCAAAAAAGTACTGAGAATTCTAATCTCAAGATACTTGATCTGGGACCTGGATTAAAAAAAATGCAACATCTTCACCTTTAAATTCAGTTTTCTGGGGGATGGCAGAATACTGTAACCAATAGGAATGCCTGAAATCTCAGCTGTGATTGTGGAGACGGAAGGAAAAGGGCGGGGAAGACAGTGCTGAAAAGGTGGTCATCTCCCTTTCCTTGTTTAAACTGAAGGTCTAACAAAAGAAGTTATTTCTTTCTCCAAACTATGACAGTAGATAGTCATGGCTATTACCAACAGCATGTAATAGTCCCGATTACCTTTTATCTTTTTGTGCTATGTTTTTTATGCTCCAAACCCTGATGCTGCAAAACTGTATGGTATTTTGCCCTATAAACAGAGACTGAAATACAAGGTCATTCACAGTTCATAAAGTTACATCTAAATTTAAATTATTGATGTGTAATAAAATAAGAAGCAACATATAAATTTGCCTAAAGAAGCTGTGGATGCCCCATCCCTGGAAGTGTTCAAGACCAGATTGGATTGGGCTCTGAGCATCCTAATCCAGGGGGTGGTCTGTAGCAGGAGGTGGGGTGTGAGGAGTGTGCAGTGTTTTGGAACTAAATGATCTTTAAGGTCCCTTCCAACCCCAGCCATTCTATGATTCCCTGACAAACAGCAGCTAACTAATTATTAGATTACCAGTAGCATTTATATCAACAGTAGCAATGTGTGCAATCTGGTAGCATTTCTGCTGGGAACTGTCATCTTCCTGTACACATCATTGCCTCAGGACATGTACTGAGTTATTTTCAAATCCAAATTATTGAATACAGCAAAAGGCTGGTGACAATAAAGCAAAATAATGAAAAGTATACCATGTCAGAGTTCCTCAAACACCAAACAAACAAACAGCATGTAATAAACATATCTTTTTGCCTTTTGAAGTCATTAGTATTACCTCTTTGAGTTATATCAACCAAAAGAGATGACTCTGCTTGCCCAATGGGATTGGAGGCACCTAATATGAAATCATAGGTTTTTTGATCAGGTAGTACTGGAAAGCCACAGACACGCTCTCTGTTCATTTCATTGACTTCACACGAAACATTTTTACCAGATGTTCTATGAAGTAAAAAAGGAGAGGGAAAAGTTTAATTTTTGAATAAGTTAATTTCTAACAATAGTTAGAAGTCTAGACTGAAAACATGGTACAGAATGATGGGTTCAGTTCACATGGCTTACAGAACAATCTGATTGCAGAGGTATATCTAACACCACAACGCAGGTTAAAGTGGCATCAGTCATGACTTGCCCTGTTCTCACGTGAAACTCTCCTCTTCTACTAGCATAACATTTCCATTCTCTCACTTCTCAAAAGCCTGGAAAACAGGTAGGTCCTGTAAAACCACCTCACAAGTTACAACTAAGATTCTGACTTAAAGTATCTTTGTTCAGATCAGCATACATTTGCATTTAAAGAATTTTTTTAATTGCTTTCTGAACTAGTGAGATGCTACACACACTGTGTTTCTAAAAGCCCTCTCAAATCTTAACTAAAGTTTGTTACCTGGAACACATCCGTTATTCCTAGTTTTTTTAATAATTATTTTTTAATCAATAGCAGGAGAGGCAGTCTGTTAACAGCCAAGACCAGAGGTACAACTCTGGGGTTAAAATCTAGAGTGTGTACGTATACATATTTGCTTTAATTACAATCTGTGTAAGCTCTCTCATTCAGTAGCACAGATTTAATTAACTTCTTCCTTCAGGCATTTTTATTGTGTTCTAGCTGAGCTCTGAGCTCTCTCCACATCATACTCTCTATTTCAATAGTTCAGTGTGGGCTGAGAACAAGAATGAGAATATTTACCCTGAAATGCATCCCATCAGTCTTGCAGCTTCAGGATGAACAAAACAAGAGTGGACAACATCCTTGTTTATAATCTGAATATCAGTAGTGAGTGACTGGAGCTCCTTTCCTTTGAATAACTGCTCTCTTTTGTCCAACTCTTTGCACCCTACCCAATGACTTCTTTAGCACTAGCACCCTGGGCAACATCTGTGACAGTAACTCAATCGTCACTGCCTCTGATTTGCTACAATGCCACCACAAGACTCCGTTTCTCATCAGTTTGTGTGACTCAGGCTTCTCCTGGCTCTCTTTCCTGTCTGCTCCTTTGGCATTACATGGGAGCCTCCTCACCATGGGAATTTTGTTAACTCCTTACTAACTTCTAATCACAACCACCAAGGAATCCCAATTGCAAGTGCTATTCCAACAAATGATTCCTCACATTCAAGGCTTTACGTGGCCTACTCTGTAAGACGACGTAGTGGGACATCACTCGACTGCTTCCTGTGTTATCTGTCCTTTTCACCATTATACAGGTAGTATGTACTTTGCTTGCTCTACACTATCTAATCCTTAACGCTGAGAGGAGAACTCATTGCAACTTTTCCTAGTGGCATGGGAAATGCACCATGACCTGTCTTATAGTTCTTTCTCAGTGGGCTTCTGCCATCTTGCCTAGTAGAAGTTCTGACAGACAATCTGACCCAGGTTTCATATAAAAAAAAAAAATTAAAAATTACTGATTGACTCCTATTATCTCCCTGTATTTTCATATTGGTCTTCTCTACCAATAAGAAAGACAGCAGCCTCAAACTTTAAGCCCTTTATTTACTTCTGAATTCATAATGGCATAAACCTCTGGGAAAAGTCACCCTTAATTTCCATTGGAATTTTGCAGGGCTAGACAAGGGTTTTCCAAGTTTAGTTTAGTTACAACTTCCAGAAACTCTTGGAAACTATTTTAGGCTCTAAACAATGAAAACTACCACACTTAAATAGGCATGGTGCAGTAAGTCACAGCCAGCAATGGAGGTATTCCAGTTGTACCCTTCTAATCCTTTTAGTGCTGATTAATTTTACCTTTCAAATAAACTGTACTTTGTTCTTCGTTTGCCATAGAGTCCACTGGGTCTGCCAGGTTTCCAGGTGCATTTTATTATCTGGAAATTGGGTGTTTCACAGCTGAGGTTTTGAGGAATATCGGGAGCATCTGTAGCATGAAAGGAAACCATAAGAGTCAGCTGATGTTCTGCCTTTCTAGTGTGACATTTGGGTCACTGGCTTCCTGAAAACATCACCATTTGGTTTTTCTGGGTCTGGATTGCGTGCTTCACAAATATATGGCAATAGTTACACTCCAACCATACAAGCAATACGCCTTTAAAAAGTCACAATAAAGCAGATGGATAATTATTATCAGCCCCATCTGACTAACACTTGACTCTAAGACTCTAAGTGGGTGGGTAACCTGGTAAATCACATGCAAACATATTAACAAGCTCCAGGCTCTGACCTGAAAGTGTTTCACTGAAACTCTGCCAAGACTTTCCTGAAATTCTGAGCATCAGTTTAGCCACTGAACATGCAGGAAAGCTGTTGGCTGTGTGTCACATTTGCTAACATGCCAGCCCCACCACTGTTTTGAATTCTTCAAAACAAGTCATGTCAAGGGGGTGGTCCCTTTAGCAGGAATTCCACACTGAATCTGAAAGTTAAAGCAAGCCCTGAATGGCTCATCCCCTTCACCATGGCTTTGGAAGTGCCAATCTTTTTCTTTTAAATTTGTTTTTTTGCTGCTTTACTAGGGTAGTGTTGAGTGCCTTCCTGGAAAAGATGGGCAGTGTTCACAACAGAGAGGGTAACCATGCTAACGTGAGAGTAGGCAGAGCACTTATTTCAAGTCTCATACACTTGATATGCATGAGACTGGAAAAGTGTGCCAAAGGTAGCACAAAAATATCCACATAGCTGCCCTAGAGATGGGGCATTAACACAAGAGGCAACAGTGGCAGGTTTAGTTCAGATTATGAGCAGCAGCCCAAAAAAGAACACCTATTTTGCCAGACCTAGGCTTAACCAAGGCGTTACGTTTCCTTCCTCTACCTTTTCTTTCCCAAACATTTCTCATCAGCAAGAGGACCATGACAAGCCCTCTCCCTTCCCACTAAGTGGATAACACTAAAAGAAATATTGACAGAAAACAGACTTGGTATCCCATCTCTTTACAAACCACTGCATAGGAGAAACCTATGGGATTATCAGGGCATTCTTTCTTGAATCACTGACTTAATTACCTGGATGATTCTCCCACAAAGGGAAATACGGTGCAAATAATGTAAAAATGTCATATCACTGAGAAAATATAAAAAGTCTGAATTCTGTTTTGCATTTGCTATCGCAAACTTAATAGACAAAGTCAATGAGAGGACACACAGCTTGGACATGGCAGCATACTTTCAAAAGGAGTCCTGTTTTTCTTATCCCTTTCCTCAACCCCAAGGATACTAAGTTCCAAGGCAGGTATTTGTAATGGGGATTATAAAGAACACCTATTGGAAGATGATAACACTCAAAATCCATGTGGGGAAAACACACAAAGCTTTAAAGTGACCGATTATGAGAAAAAAAACACATGAGGTACTTTCAGTTATTTGTTTTAACAGGTATCTGTTTCTGGAACAGATTTCTGAGCCTGGCTGAGAAGATGCACAGTGATTCAGTAACTTTAAAGAAAATACTAAAAGGGTGTTTAAAAAGAGTGTCCAGAAAAGACGAATTGCTGGCTGTTTTCCTTTGCTGTAATTAGCTCCCAAGGAGCTACTGCACTGGATGAGCATGTGTTGTTGTTGCAGATCTAAGTGTTTTATTGTCTTCATTTGACTGATTGGTAAACGAATGTTTGCATTTACAGTTCTTGCTCTCACTCTCACCTTGTCATGGACTAAACTAGAACAGATGTAAACCTAAAGTGACACAGACTGGGGATGAATATTCACATGGCAATAAACTACTAAGTATTCCAGATCATGAAAAAGTACCTTAGAACAAGAGACCAATGAAAGAAGCAATAGGCCAGGTTCTAAAAGAAGAGGACTCATATGGATACCTTCTCATCCTCCCAAACTTGGTCTCTTCTCCATGAGCTGGAGTTTCCACAGGGAAATCAAACAAGTACAATCCCAGTTCATGCTCAAAAACAAAGGCCGGGGGGGAAAAAGCCACAGAAGTATTTGTTTCCTAGCAGAACTCTGAGAGTCTCAAAACAATTTTAATTTTCCTAACGTTAGTAAACATAATGATACATACATCCTACAAACAGGACAGTTCCCTCCATCATTCCGTTGTTGAGTCTGCACACTACATTTGTGCCACTGGTATCTGAAGCACTGGCATTCAGTACTCTGATTGCATGGCTCCGACTGCTCAGCTGTATCATTGGGTAGGGCTTCGATCCATAACTCATATTTGTAATGTTCTGACCTTCTTCATGGACACAACAAAATGTCACATCTGAACCTACTGCCACCACAGTGTCCAGAGGAAACACTCCACTCTCACCGGGATCGGTATCTTTTCCTAGCGGAAAAGGAAGAAAACAAAACAAACAAATTATAAACCCCACATGAACAACTTTATATAAACATGGTGCTGATCAGCTAAAATGTGACTGAGGAGCGTTCCAATGCATACAAATAAATGTTTACTAGGTTTCATTAACTAGTGATTGCATTATTTCTCCAATCAAAACATCCTCCAAGCCAGCAGCCCATCAATGCCTAATCCTTTTCCTCTGATTTTGGCTCACTTCTTACAAAGAAATCAAAGTCCCTGTGGTGGCAAGAGAACAAACATACCAGGGATCACTTCTACTGGGCTCCAGTCACTCCACTCTTTGAGGCCAACAAACTGTGTTACATTAATATAACAGCGAATCTTCACATAGTGCGATGTGCACTCCAAAGGCATATCTGATGTCCAGTTCCAAGAAAGAATGATGTCTTCATGAGTCAGTTTTGAGTGGTAAGTAACCTGCAAAGTTTTCACACACAAAAAAATAACGAAGACAGAGTTTATAAACATCTGCTTATAATGACATATCTCCCAGGTGTCAACAGAATGGTAAATTAAATGAACTAAATCATAATATCCTGAGAGATTGTTGGAGTGTCCCACTTTACTTTCAGTTGCACAGTGAATTTGCTTGGACAAAAGCCTAACTTACTAAACAGCCCACCAACCAGGTAGACTGCCTGCCAGAAATACCAGAGGGCAGACATTTGAGAGAGAGCAGGAAGCACACCAAGCATTTAAATAGGTATATACTGCATCCCAGTATCCTGGGCCTCTCCTAGGCAGTGAAATGTTCCAAATTTTCTAAAATGTCCCAGGCTGCACATTTTGTCTTTTCTTCATTACTGAAATGTTTAGAACAGAGCTACAAATTGGCTTGGAAGAACTGTGGTTACAGAAGAAAGAAAAAAGCAAGCTTGAGCATTCAAAGACCAAGACTTGAGACACTGTTGGAGAAATAGAGACAATGGTGTAAAATATCTGCCAAATTCATAAGTAAGTTTTAATTAAAAAATCCCTGTACTAGATTAAAAAAAATAAAATAGTGTGACTCACTACTGAGAGTATAGTAGCCAGTCTTCTCAAAACTTTGAAACTTAAAAAGAAGTTACATACTAGAAGCGTGAGTAGAAGGCTCTACAAAGCTCCACAATCTTCATCATTCTCAGCTTTCTTTAAATGACCTCTCAGAATATTACCAAGGGCAAAAATTGCACATATATTTTTCATAAGCAAAGAAAAGGACTTACTTGTGTGACTTTTTCCATTGTTTCTTTTCGGAGTATCTGAATCTGCCAAACAGCATCCAGTCTGTCTGGGAAGAGTGATCCATTATCACTCCACTTCAGATTTAATGTGGAAGTTGAAAAGTCAGGTGTTAAACTAAGAATGCGTGGAGTGACAGGAATAAACACTTGAAAAAGAGAGGGAGAGAAAAAAAACTCATACTCAAGTCGTTAGTCAGCAACACCAGCCCTACAGGTGTTCAACAGCCACAACTCTCTGCTCTGAACTGGCTAGTAGCCATATAAACATGTAACTCAATCTCTGTAATTAGAACAAGATAGGCTCTGTCATTACTTGAGCATTAAAGTTCTCAGGAAAGCACAGGTGCTGATGAATCACCAGGTAGCATTTTCTCTGGATATCTCAGCATGCAGATATGTGAGTAACTGGTCATGATTATGTCTCTTCATAATGCATAGTGAGGAAGGAAGGTATCCTATGTTTTATAACCTTCATTCAATACTGCAGAGGTAAAGGAAACACGGTGACAGTCTTTGAAATGTGCATGAGAACATGTCTAGGGAAGATGATAGAAAACCGTCCCCAAAAGAAGTAAGTTTTGGACACCAGTAATGAAGTGGTTATTTGCAACAAAAGTGAGAGTAGGGAGAAAGGAAGAGCAGAAGCAGAGGATGGAAGAAGCTCACATGAGGCTCTGAAGAAGATCATGGGGAAAGGGATTTTAAGCTAAACGAAATACTAAAGGCATGACATCATGATGTGGACAAGACAGGGAGATTACATAGAAGACCTGTTCTACAAATAGGCAGTGGTGAAGCAGGAGACTGATAAGCAGGGAAGAATTATAGTAACACAAGGGTTATGGCAGTTTGTTGGGCCTGCTGCAGGATAAAACATATTTTTAAAAATGTGTGATACATCCAATTCAGTCCTGAACATGGACCTGAGAGCCTGCAAAGTGTTCAGCACAGTTCAACTCTGCCTACAACAACCTGTGATGAACCTGAGAAAATCATCCTGCCTGGAGTCAGCAATATCCTGGAGAACACAATGCCTTGCCCAAATATTTGCGAGTTGCATTTTGTTAAAAGTTCTTGAGCTGCTCTCAACTGTAAACAGAAGCATGGATAAGGAGTATTACTGACATTAGAACCTGACTACACCAAAGGAGTAAGTAAGCAAACCAAAACCAAAGCCTAGAGCAAGCATGTAAGATGGTGCCAGTGCCGTCTTCAGTTTACAACTTCCTCCTTTGCATGGAGAGAAGTGGGAAAAAATCTGATTTATTTATGACAGCAACATGAAGCAGTCTATCTCCCAAGAATAAATGTATTTCCTCAGCTTCATATACAGCTGAACATCATATTAGGACAATATGATCCCCTCAGGAGTGACATATGATACAATTTCCCTTCAAGTGTTCTGAAATTGCAGGAGTAAGCAACTTCATTCTGTAGCACCCAAACTGGAAGAACAGGCACTAGGAAGCTTATTCTGCTTTTCCCAAGCCAAGTCTGACCAAATGCACTTTAAAACCCATGCAACAGTATGTAGATTAGGAATTTGTTTACAAATCCTTCCTAACTTTTAACTAAGATAAAAAAGGGCAAAGGGTGGGGGACGTAACAGTGCTGTATTTTATTTTCTTTGTCACATCGTGCCCTTGATTTCTCTGCTATGATCTATAGGTAAGAGGAGTTTTCTTTCCTCTGAAGGATTAGAGAAAAAAACCTATGATGTACAGTGGCTTCAAATGGACTCATCATAGCAACATTTTACATACAGGAATACTGTCAAAGAAAACTGCAAGCATATACACATCTGGAGAATTGTTAAACACAGTATAAAGGCTTTGTGTACACACAAAAACCCTGATACTTACAGACATCTTTCTTGTGAATTTTAAATACTTTGGTTTCAGAGATGCTGTTTGTGGTTATTGTCACTGTGCTGGAGCTATGTGGGACTGGAATCTCAACCCTTTTCTCCTTAGTTTTAAAACACACCGGAGTGGGGAGGTCACTGAAAAGACATAGAGGATTAAGCAGTTATTTCAGCTGATAGGCAGCTAAGGCAAGTTAAGTCCTGTTCTTGGACACTAATAAAATACAAATTCTCTCTAATAAACGGAGAGCTCGCATGGGCTTTGGTTAGTATCAGATTAACAGGCATTTCCTCATCTTTCAAGTCACTTTCATTGCAGTCATAGGCTGTGCATTAGCTGCATAATGCAACTACTAGTTGTTAAGAGAACACTTCAAAGTGAAAACTTGACTTTTTAAACAAAATCATAGAATCACAGAAGTTTGGAAAAGACCTTTAAGATCATTCATCACAAATGTAACTGTCAACCTACTACCAGCACCACTAAACCATGTCCTTAAATGTCATATCCACACGTTTTTTGAACTCTTCATGGGCTGGTGACTCCCCTACTCCTCTGGATAGTCTGTTCCAATGTTTTACAAACCTTTCTGTGAAAAATATTTCCTAATATCTAATCTAAACCTCCTCTGGCACAACTTGAGGCCAAGGCAAGAAACCTTTTCTAAACCTACAGTCACCATGAATCAATATTTAAAAATAAGCAAAATAAAATAAAAATTAAAATAGTAAAAAAAAAACCCAACCAAAACAAAACAAACAAGAAAAAAAACCCAAAGAACATCCCCCCAAAAAACCAACAACAGCCCAAACTTAACAGTATCTTCCCCTCCATTTATGTCTCCTGACTCCCTCTCCCTCCATTTCTTCTCAAAGTAATGGTATATTGGGAGCAGGTTTATCACCTGTGTCTGCATCTTAGAACAAATCTTTTAGCTCACTTCTGCTGCTCAGCTCATGAGGAAAGGGCAGAGGGTAGTGGAGAGGATTGCTAAGATCCCAGGTGAAAATACAGCCTGTGCTTAATTTTTGCGTAGTGCTCAGCACGATGTGATCTGGCTTTTGTCTCGAGGATGCAGATATATAGAGGAAACAATAATGGATGGGTCAAGTCCCTTTGCTCATTATCACTGATACACAACTAGAAAGGCAGAAAGTTTGGAAAAATCCAGACCTTCCTCTTGGGGCAATGACGGGAGGAAGGAAAGCAGAGAGAACAATGCCAGACTTCCTGCTGAGGGACTGTTACTCACTTATGAACTGGAACGGGACCCTGGAGCTCCCATCAGCTGGAGTCAAGAGCTTGGGCTGAACTCTTAAGATTCACACAAGACTCCGGGCTAGCGAAGCCAGCTGAGACTTGAGTGCTCAGAAAGACTATTCCTCTTCTGTACTGAGATATTATTAGAGGATGTTTGGGCAACTGAAAAACAAAACTTCTTTCCCTCAGGGATGTCTGCACTAAGCGCAGCTCTCATCCTCTTTGCTTCAGGGCCCCCAGCCTGTTCTGCTTTGCTAAGGAGAAACAGCAGCAGCTACATGATTGTTCCTGTTTAGAGGGCAGTACCTCCTGAACTCTGCACTCCTGAACTCCAGCTGAAATGTCACATATATAGATTATTTTTTTTAAAATTAGAAATGATAGCTGGCAATGCAGCAGGAATAATGAGACACAGAAAATCAGGCATGTAGGTGGACTAAGTGCAGCCAAGCCCTGGGACCCCAAGGAAAAGTCTGGGCTGCCTGCAGAATTTACAGGAAAAAAGACAGTATAAATATCTGGACTGGGGGCAGGATCAAGATGCAGAATGGATTTGAACTCATCCCTAGCACATGATAAGTATTTGGCAGATCCAGTGCATGGAGATTTGAACATGTAGTTCTCATTAGTGAAAAAAAAAAGATTTAAGGTGTTTTTTAACTTTTCTCAAAATTCTCAACTCTCATTCACTTCAGAAAAGCTATTTTAATTATGAAATAATGTTTACGTTTCCTCTAATACAATGCTCTTCAGATGGTTTAAAATTTATAAAGATTGTAATGCAGCCATCAAGAGATTTTTCTTGTTTTTCCACATGTGAATCTCAACACTTATGTCATATATTCTACCGCTTTGGCCCATAACATCAGGATTTGCTGCTTCCAACTCTCATTTCCTTTTGGACTGAACCTGTTTTGAAGATATCCCTCATGAAAACTCTAAGCAAGGGATAGGCAGACACACAGAGAAGTCTGAGTAAATAAGAGCATCTTCCAGTCCTTTGAAAAGAGCAAGCAGATTTTGGCAGGCAAATTGTTAGCGTGGAACAACTTTGCCAGAAACCCTGCCATTGCCTGAGTTAACAGGGCCTGGAGGGAGCACCACCCAAGGAAAACTGATGGGGAGATGCTGGGAAAAAACAGCATCACAAATTCCATGGGCAGCGACTCAGGAAAAACTGTACTTTCATCACATTTTGGTATTTTTCAACCAGGTGTATGTGGGACTTACTTGGTAGTGTAGCAAAAGTCAGTTTGTCCATGTCTTCTTCTAGGAGACACATCCCAAGTACAGACCATTTTGTGTAAATTGTGCGTTACACATTTCAAATTCTGGGGGTGCCCTAGAGAACCTGAAATCATAGAATAAATACAGTCACACAACTGCAGGTCAAAAGAGAGCAACTGTAAAACTACTGCTATTGTTCACATATGTAGCCTTTCTTTTTACAGTTTTATTGCATGCATGTCTGGCCAGTATTTGAAAATTGTTGAATGATTTGTGTGTCTGATTAGAAAGCCACAGACTCTCAGATTTCTAGAATTACCTAAGATCTGGGTTTGTACTCGTGTGCATAACACAGGCAGCTGTCTCTTTCCACAATATCCATTCCTTGCCTAGCCTAATAAGCAGGCTTTGGGCCAATAGCAAAACCACAATCTTTGATGATAAATTTAATGAGTTTTTTTCTCTCCTCCATTGTCACACGTGGAGGGCAATTAATGACAGAAGGGCAGTTAATGACAGTGTGTGAACTTATCGAAGACAGCTGGCATATACAGTAAGAGGGTTTCAATGCAGGCATTTACATCAACTGCATATGCAGACTATCAGTTGCCTTATGGAGAATTTAACACCCAGTTTTGCACTGGTTTACAAGATGCTGATGGGTGCTGAAAAGAAGAGACCAGGCCTGACATTATCTCCATGATGTGGGATGGGGCCACAGAGGTGACAGTTTCTGAATATACATTTAGTAGGACAGCAATTATAATGTGTCAGTACAGAAGCTCCAAAAAAAAAAGGTAATTAGTGAATTACACTGTCATGAACTCACCTATCTCTTGGCAATATACTAAGCTTCTTAAGCATAAAATAGCTAGTGCTAAAAGGCAGCGGAGGCTTGAATTCTTCCACATTCTTCTACTGTTTGTTTTCAGAACAGCAGCTTTAAGCGGGAATAAACGTCATCTTCCAACAAGCTGGTCAGTTCTAAAATTAAACACAAAAATAATAAAAAAAACCCATATAAATTGTAGAGCTGGTACTCCACAAATGCCACATTTTGTTCCATCTACTTTTCCTCTTCAGTATTGTTCCCCGACTTAGCAGCTCCTTTTCATTCATCCGCCAAGCAAACCTTTTCTCTATCCCAACAACTCCTCGATGCATACATTTTCAGTAAGACATTTCAAATATACCTTCAAGAACCATAGACATGTAAAACTCAATGGTCCACAGGTATCATTCAGGACCATCTGATATCAGAACAGGACAGACATGGCATCCCCTGGAACAAGCCTCTTCAACTTAGACAAAATGTCACATTCACAAAGGATCTTGAACATCATGAATGGAAATATCCCGTGCTTCATTTATGCATTTAAGAGGACAGGATAGACCATCTGTTTTCTTCTTTTCTCTTCTCATTTTTCATATTGCTACTATTGAAACCTATGGGATGCCCAAGACATTGCACCAGCATCACTGGTTCAAGCTAGAGTTAAACAATAATGCCTGGAGGAAAAATAATGGGAAAAAAAATACGTGAGCCACTTGTCTTATGGTAAAGGACCACTGTTCGTCTGGAGGGAAGAAACACACTTAAAAATTATTTTATTTTCACCATGTTCTCAAACCACCTGAAAACCTCAATAAAAACACACTGATGTGAGCTATACTACCCCTAGACACACTCAGTTCTTCTTTTGTATATTGCTAATCTGTAATATCCATGCTGTGAAACTTGTTAAAAGCCAAATCAAGAGCAGAGGTTGACAAATCCATGTTCAGGTAAAGAGTAAATCACAGCTATGCACTACAAGAAATCCAAGTCATACCAAGTTTTCTTAACTCAAGCACAGTTTTAATTTCTGTTTCAGAGTCAGGCACAGAAGGGAACCTATGTACTCTTATAGAGGGCATGATGAGTGTCTTGTAAACCACAGTCTTTCGTAAGAAGCGTAGACTCCCTGGCTCTTGTTTTCTTATAAACATTTTATAACTTGTTGAAAAGTTGGCAAATAAAAGCCTCGTGTCACATAATTAAATGCCATTAGTCAGGAAAAAATATCCCCATTTATAGGCTTGTTTTAATTATAAAGTTACAAAATAATTGAATTACTTTAAAAATAGGAAGTTCACTTTCTTTGGATGAAAGCTGCCTCCCATCAGTTCAAGACAAAATCAAATAAGGCATGGAGGTTTTTTCTTACCCTAAAACATATGAAAAGTATGTTATCCTCTAGGCAGTTCTCTAAGGATGTACAGGACTTGATATCCTAAGAGTCAGGGCTATTATTTAGGACAAGAAAGCTCATCATTGTCAGAGGAAGGCAAAATCTTGACCATGGCTGGCTGGAGCTCAACAGGAGCAGTTACTACTGAGTGCAAATGTCTTTACACTGCAAGTCTATTTTTCAAAAATGGTATGAAGGGGGTTAGTCCATTGTCTCTACCAGACTAAACTGCAGCTAAACCACTTTTAACAAGTTGTTCATCTTAAATAATATCAGCAGTAGCACATCCTATAACAATCTAATTTCCTAGGGCAATATATTTGTGTCACTTCACTGGCACTATCATCAGTATTCCAAATGTGCTCCACAACTATCTCTTGCTCCATTTTAAGCACATTACTTTGTCCTATCTCCAGCAGACAAAGAACAGTTCGCCCTCTGCCTTGCAGCAACCTCTTACAGAGCAGATGACTGATACCAGATCTCTAACAACACCTCCCTTAAAAACTCCTTTTTTTTTTTACCATTCCCCTGTCTCAGTTTCTATATTTCTGATCATTCCTGGAACAAATTTTGCTCTGTGAACCAAAGCTGCTGTATCCACAGCCTTGAAATATCTCTGCCCCGAGGCCTGAGCATTATCAAGCACAATGAAGGAACTTTTCTATGGCAAACCTATGCGTAGTATGTGTTTACACAGCTCATGCCATGTTTGCTTTCTCCCAACATTCAGACCTTGTTGACTCAATTTCAGTGTGTGATCCAGCCCCGGATACTGTATAAAGCTGCCACGTAGCTGTTTATTTAGTACTTCAGACTCCAATCTCATCCTCAGATGGACTGCAAACCTCCTGACTTAGCACGAGTGTATTTGCACAGCACATTCATCTCAATGGCCTTGCCTGAAATGGTCTTTCACTTCTGAAATTTTCAAATAAGGAAAGAGTTTCCCATAAATCTATGCTAAGGAACAACACTTTGTGTGTCTACAAAAAGTATTCACATGCAAATTTATGCCATACTGACAGCAAAGGCTTGATGGGCTTCAGTATATAACTGGCCATATTTAAGAGAATCTACTAAAAGGAGGATTCAATAATGACTGTTGGAAGCTACAGTACATGGGGGATGTCCTGACTTCTGCCCAAGGTTTTATGTTGTGCAGAGGAACTACCCTTGTGCCTGAGGTTGGAAAGAAGAAATTTTAAATTCCCTTTTATGCAGGTAAGGTAGAAAGGAACAACTGGATTCAGATTCCTATTCACTGAAGCCAGCAATTGATGGCTGATATTTAAAACAGCTCAATACCCACCGTGGACTTTTAAATTACTTTAAAAGATGTTTTGATGCAGACAGTGCATCTACTGGTGATCAAACAGATAAGAGAGGAAACAGAAGTCCAAGACAATAATGTGCGCCTGGGAAAAGATCTGTGGAAGCTTTGCTTCAAAACCTTTTCAGCTGTAAAGAAGGTTAAAGATTCTGTGACCTGCTGAGAAAAGGGGAGCATTTAAGCCATTACGAGCCTCTTTAAATTTAACCTCTTGAAGGGAAAACCAGAAAATAACTGGTATGTCTCCTACTGACTGTGTTTCTTGTTAGATATTTTTTGGCTTAACTGATTCTGTGTATCTTCTTTTTTAAAAGCATAGCTGACCAAATCCTCAATTCTCTTCAAAGGGGAAAAAAAAGTGGGTTTTTATTCAGTTGTATCAGATTAGTTCTCTAAGCACAAAAGTTCTTCAAAGCTTTGTTCTACTGTTGAGTTTTCTGGTCTCAAAGTGTATTTCATTGTCAAGTGCTTGGAAACCACTTTGAAAACAAACAAACAAAAGAGCTAAAAAAATATTAAAAAAAAAAATCAATAAGCTTTCTGGCCTGCTTTCTGCCTGCAGCCTGATCTGACAGTCAAAAGCCTCCAGATCTCGTTTTTAAAAATGTCTACGAATTGAGGATTAGTTGCCACAGTTTTCATAGAAATGTTTGTGCTCCACAGGCAGATACCTGAAAAAGAAATGGTTAAAAAGTCATCTTATACACAAGGTTTAGGGAAACTGTAAGTGGAGAATACTAGACGAAACCAGTAAAAATACATGTATTGAACATAATAGAAGAAATCTGCTTGTCCATAGATTTTCTCAAGTTACAAATTTTTTTTGTCCACAATTCAAGGTATCATCACAATAATTTGCCACCATTAAAAGCTCTCAAGGAAAATGACATAGCACGTCACCAAAATGTTGTAGAGACTGATGAGAGGCTGCATTTTTGACAATACTGAGCAGCCATAATCCCAAATAATCAAGCAGAAATGGAGGTGTTAAGTCTGTGCCTAGATCCAACGTTATTGCTAGAAGAAAAATTACTCTGTTCAGCAAGTGGAGAAAGCTCATTTTACTTGTCTCTGCCCAAAGATACTAATTCAACCTTCAAAGTGAAAGAAAACACACTTACATGCAGATAAAAATGCATATATCAAATTACACATGCTACTTTTGCCAGCAGAAAGCTTCCAAAAAAAATTCCCCTATCTAAAAAACCATGCCAGAAGTACACATTTCTGGGAAACGAAGCAAATTGCCAATACAGCTGACAGTAAAGGCAATGGACACAGAAACAGAAAATGAACTGGCTTCCTTTAGAACAGCTTTGCTGATCCCACAGCCTTCATTCTTTGACTTTAAAGCTAGCTGAGTAATAAAAAAAATGAGAGCAGAATTAATAAGATTTATTTGAGGGAGCTTGGCTGTTTTTCAATAGAGTACATTCTTCCATGTCCTTAAAAAAATTTCCGAAGTTGAGACAAAAATCTTCAGTAATCTAAATGCAGGCTTTCCCTCTCTGTTTTATAACATGGCACCATTCCACTTTATAAAAGATTTGCAGGACATGAATCACTAAAACTCGTTTATAAATGAAAACCGAATCCCATTTGGGAATCTGGCTTTCCCCAGTTCTGAGGAATTAATGTAAGAATCTGCTATTTCTCTATCTAAAAGCTGATAAAATAATTCAAGTTGCCTATGTGCATGCTCTACCCTAATCTGTGGTGGAAGAAAAGGAAACAAAGACAGGGTGTTAATATATTATTCAGTAAATGTGCAGGAGTACACAAGGCCAAATTATCAGTCCTATGAGACATTTGTTTTGTTGGGTTTTTTCCTGTCAAGCACAAAGAGAAAAATTCCCTCCTCACTGCTTCCTCTAGCTGCCAAACAGCAGCATCACCTCTGAGATACCGGGAAGCCACTGCAGTTATCTTGCAGCCACCTCAGCCTGCTTCTGCTCTGCAAGGTGAGGTGAGAAGTCAGGGCACGACACACAACATAAGGATCAACACTTCAACAATTAATTTTCCTGGTCACAAGCACCATCTACAAAGGCAAGTCTTTTATCAAGAAATTTTACCAACAAGAGTAAAGGTGCACCCAGGATGCAGTAAGAGTTTCAACTTTCTCAGGTTCTAAGGCCAACTTGCAGCTGCTCTTGCTTTCCAGTAATTCCAGTTCTTCCTTTTTTTTCTGATCCCAGGACTGTTAGATACTGGAAATACAAATAAGCAAGCAGCAGACTGGGAGAGCTGTTGGGTGCTTCCAAGTAGCAATTAGCATGAGAAGCACCCTCACCTGGCAAGGAGATGAGACAACAGATCCATGAAGAAGCATCGCAACTCAAGGATGATTCTATAAAAACATTTAGTACCTGCTGGACAGCACAACATATACACACACAGAGAGAAACTGAGACCCTTAG